CGAGGAAGTAGTATAAAGTGTAAAAGGTACACTGTAGTTGTACTTTGGTACGATTGGAAACCAACCAAAGTGTAAACCTTTTACACTTTATACTACTCCCTCGGATAAGCTGTAAGTAGGATTAGCTTTAGGTATAGAAGCGAGTATCGGATGAGCCACAAGTAGGATCATCCCTAGGTGTAGAATGGGCATAAAAGTTTTACACTTTGGTTGGTTTCCAATCGTACCAAAGTACAACTACAGTGTACCCTTTTACACTTTATACTACTCCCTCGGATAAGCTGCAAGTAGGATTAGCTTTAGGTATGGAAGGGGTATCGGATGAGCCACAAGTAGGATCATCCCTAGGTGTAGAAAGGGCATTATGGTTTGGCTACAGTTGCGGTCGGTAATTCATCTCCTATGGTAAAAAGTTCTAACAACTGCTCTAGCTGATTCACCCTGTATAAGTGTGAAATAATGTGTGGTGTAAAAATAATAAATAAAAAGTAAACATAAAAATTGTTTGCTTTGTAATAGTTGTAAAACCTTTTTGCCACTATTATAAAAGTAATAGTTCTCACTGCAAAAAAATGTATGTTTTTTTCGCAATAACTTCCCAGATAGCACACTGAATTCACAAAGTATTCTTTAAGTTTTCTTTTTTCTGAATTTTAATTTTTAGGAATTCATAGAAGAATACAATAAGAGTGACAGAGGAAGTTACATGCACCACAAATCGGTTTCCTGACAACTTCTTAAAGTATTCATCTCAAATTCAATAAATGTAAACTTTATGAATTGAAGGGGAATAGTGTTAGAACAAAGAGGATTACAAAATATTTACCCAATGTATGTACACATCTAATATGCAGTAACATTACAGTACCATTATTATAATTTCTCACTCAACAGTGAGATACTCTCAACCGAAGCTCGTTGACAATCGGATGATTCTTCCGTTTCGGTTCTCGTCGTTCGATTCTTTCTTTTACACAATAGAACTATTGCACAAAATTAATTGCACATAACGTTACGCACACAAAATATTGCACGTGGTAACACGCTGCACAAGAACGTCCGGATGGCGGTTAGCGGATACTCGCGCATGACAAATAATTCCTTATAAATTCTCAAAGTATTCACAGTACTGAATCGCGAAGTATTCATTATAATGAACTTCAGAAGAATACTTCATGACGAACTGATTCAGACTAATTCTTCAAGAATTCTTCACATATTCATTTTTCTAATTCTGCGTTTTCTTTAAAATGAATTCTCTATAAACTTATGTACATCTTTGTGCTATCTGGGTTTTCTGTATTACTAAAAGATGCCAGGTCAAGAAAACACTGACGTTGTTAATTACCGCCGGCGATATTGAAGAATTCTCATTAGTATTATAAATTAGTGACAATATCGAGAAAATGACGGGAGGGAGGAGAGAGGGGAGGAAGAAATGTGAGCAAACAAATGAGTGTACGTTAATAAACGGGAAAAAGCAAATTTCAATTAACATATTATTCAGTAATGTTTCTATAACATATGTATAATTTGTTGCAAATTAAATATTGTTAAATTATCAAAACTTCATACGTTTCATTTATCAAAACTAAATAAAAATTAAAACTTATTGAAACTCCATTAAAATTCACAATGTAACATGACCCTAGTCTGTCTCGCGTAACATAAAATAAATTTTTCTCTTCATGTACAGTATCTTTATAAAAAAACGCTATTAATGTGAAAAAAATCTCGACCGAGATTGCAATAAAGCTGCACGAAAAATAGACATTAAAAGTTTCTTCATTGTAAACTTTGTAAACAGAATGTTCTAACTTCAATCATGCATTGAATCGTCCTCGACGAAATCAGCTGCTTCTTGTCGCATCACACATTCAATATGCGAAATTTTATTCCTGAACTTTACTCCATAGAATTTGTTTGCACCGTGTAGCAATTCCGGTCTACAAAACAAATGCATTTTCAGCTTTATGTTGATCCATAAACATAATAACGCGCTGTTATCTTAAAGTCAACTTGGACACAGATTGTACCTGAATGTCGTGGTAATGAACTGGGCGTGAGAACTAAGTTCGTGAATCATGTTCGCCACTGCCTGTCTGTCTTGTGGATCTAGCATGTGATCTATTTCGTCGAACAAATAAAACGGTGCAGGATCGCACTTTTGTATCGCAAACATCAAGGACAATGCCACGAGTGACTTTTGTCCTCCTGATAACTGGTTTATTTCTCGCATTTCACTTGTATGTCGCGCAAATGATACTCTTATACCTAGAAATTATAGATATAGAATATAAATAATAGATATAGATAATGATAAACATAGAGGAAAGTCCCCAATTATGGAAATAGGTTCCTAATTTTCTAAATCTTTTCGCAACAATTACAAGCGCCATCTAACAATAAATTTTCCACTAAATAGATTTCACTCCAAAGATGATAAATTTATGATGGGATCAACAGATGACGCCTATTAATTTAGCAAAAAAAAACCCCGCTATCTCATATTAGGAGTCTATCTCATAATAGGGGACTCTTATATCGACTGATCTCTTTCACTTCGTATCTCAATTGTACATACAGGGTGTTAAGGCAACATACATGTCAGTACGACGGGTTGCCCATTCGAGCAGGCGCGCATGGTCATTCACAACTGTGCGCTGGGTCGAATGGGCAACCCGTCGTACTGACATGTATGTTGCCTTAACACCCTGTACGTATTCTGGTCCAGAATGAACGTTTAAGCAGAAAAAAAACAAAAAATTTCGTAACGTCAAAATACGACCTTGCGAGAGAGATCAGTTAATACAAATTTTTGATATATTTAAGAAATATAGTTAACTCAAAGAAAAAAATTAATCAAATTTCTGAATAAATTATGCTTCTTGTATAGAACATAGTGGCAAGCGCGGTGCAGAGAAATGTACTTAGTAAATAAATGAACGAAAAGACCCGAGTTCAAATCCAGCCACGAACATCGCTGGTTTTTTTCGGACGCTACTTCTCGGAGGGAAGTGGCAACCACAGACAGTTATATCTTGCCACACATACCCCTTTAGGGGCGTAGCCCTTCAGGTTGGAGATTTCCTTCAGCAAGGTTTAACAGCCTACCGAAGATGAAGTAAGACCAAAATGCTCAAAGTGCCAGAACAAACGGGATAAAATAGGCTTTAAGCCTAATACACGAGGAAGAAGAAGCATAGAACATTTGACTTGTTTAGATAAATTCATTTCCTCACCTACGCCAACAAATTCATCGGAGTCTGATAGCTCCACTGTTCCGCCTTCTTTTTCATCACCGTTTCTAGTTTTCATAACCAGCTGTGCATGTCCCGAAGGTACAAGCTTTTTGAATACTTCACTGAACGATTTGCTCATCTTAAAAAGATTGTCACATACAATTGCTTATAAGAATGCATTATCATGATAGATTTATATATCAATATTAATCCTTTACTATTAATTTTTTAAAGTCTAATTCAAATAATATGCTACATGCAAAGAATGCTAAACTATCTAGTAAACGGGCAACTAAATAGAAAGGGGAGACAATAAAGAGATATATATATATATATATATATATATATATATATATACTACGGGCAAAAAAATATGTACTTGTTTAAATGTAAATTGTACTGCTTCGCATTTACGCTGTTCAAGTACCAACAAGAGTTGTTTTATTTTCTCGCCATTTCGGTCCAATTCTTCTTTTCGTTTTACCAATTCTTTTATTTGATTGCTAAAAGATATGAACTGATCCAAAGCTTTTTTATTCACATGGCTGAAAATAAATATAAATTATCAACAAGTAATACAACCTTGAATTTATAACTATAATAATAATAATCGATAATTATTAATTTTTACTTGTTACAACCCCAGTTTATTATAGTTTAGTAGTATAAATACGCACCTATATTTTTTTAAATGCTTATTTGCCTGTTTCATTTCCTTGAAAAGCTGTTGCGTTGATATTGTAGTAAACCTAAAATAAGCTTCACGACTAGATAATACGCCGAGTTCAGTAATCTTTTGTTTACATTCCACTATTTTCTGCTGCAGAATATTCAACTTGCTTGTCAACTTCTCTAAATCTTTCGCATCTAGTATTTTCTCTCGCGCTTCTTTTTCTTTTGATTTCCACTTCTCAACTTCGTCAGACTCCAATTTTTGCTAAACATACCACAAAATGGGAATTAAGAATCACATAACTTAAATGTATACTAGAGAGAACGATTACTATGTTCTTAGATACTTACTTTCTTCATAGCATTGGCCACTTTTTCATTTTGTGCTCCAAAGTCCTCATTCACTTCCATTAGTCTCTTTTCGATATCTGCCAACTGGATCTTTGACGATTCAAGCTGCCGCTGTCGATCGTCAATTGATATTTCTTGTAGAACTTGAACTAGATCATCCTTTCTTCTCATCAAGTTGCTTGTTAACAAGTTCTCTAACTTATTCTTTTCTATTTCTAATTGCATCCGTTTTTCAAACGCTTCTTTGCTTTCTTTCGTTAAGCGTTTTATGTTATCCTTTAAAGTGTCAACCTACAAAAATCGATAATCAATAGACTCTAAATCTTGAACCCGAAATGGAAAAAAAGAAATATATAATAGATATGGCATTCTTTAATTGAACATTGAAAATTCTTTTTTCGCGCACCTGATGCTTATCCGCAACGGACAACAGCGCCGTAAGTTCTTGACGTAATTCACTCTCCAGGCCATATTTAGTTACGCTCATCGCTTCCAAACTTGATGTGCATTGTGCAAGACTTATTTCTTTTGGCGCGCGGTACATTTCTATAGCACTCAATTCTTCCTTCATAAGACGTATGTCTGCCTTTATTTTGTCATATATATCTCTGTTAAGTAAATAATAATCTGCTGATTAGTCTCTATCATTAAAAAAAAATTTCAATAATTATAAATGTTTAAATACTAAATGTAAAATTACCACTAATTATAATGCTAACTTAAAGACATCATCTAATTACTCACTTCGCTTTACTACGTCTGGTTTCAGTCCTCTGCATTTCGTTAACGTAAGAACTAATACTTTGATCCGTCTTTCTGATTTCCTCCCTAAGTGTCGTTAATTGAATCTCGAGAGCAGAGATTTGTGATATTAATTTTGATCTTGTCTTTTGTATCTCGAGTCGTGACCTGCGGGTGTTGAAATATCCGCCAGTTAAGGTACCCTTGGATGAAACCTGATCTCCTCCCAACGTAACGCAATCGAAGCCGCAATCCCGCGCCAAAGTCGTCGCTGTTTCCAGATTGCGACAGATCAAAGTATTTCCAAATATATTTCTGTATTCAACAAAAAGATCACAGTAATTATATAAAGTCTATATATATCACAAAGAAATGTGTGGAAAAGAGATTTTTATTTTATGTATTTATACCTTAACGCTTTGTCAAATTTGGGATCGTAACTCAACTTGGATATCATAGGTATAGCATCACAGACTTGCGGATAATCTTCAGCCTTTACGCGAAGTCTATTTAGGGGTATAAAAGTTACTTCTCCCGATAACAGTTGACTATTCATTTCTTTTAAAATTTGTGTGCCAAACTTATCAGTCTCCACAATATGATAGAACAATCGATTGCCAGCGGTTACTTCAACAGCCATATAAACGCTCTCGTCACAACTGAAGCTTTCAATCACAGGCCCGTAGTAGCTGCTAACTTCACTAATCATATCTTCTCGTTTACTATAAAAGTAAAGATATTAAGAACATATGTATATTATTTGCAATGTTCATATTATCACAAGTTTTAAACAGGGACGTTTAAAAATCCTTTTAAAAGATTATGCAAGTAGTATATAGATTAAGCAAGTACACTTATACCTATTATTAAAAAAATGATCTTACCGAAAAGTGTCTAGTACTTTACGCACACTGTCCTTGCCATTCAAAATAGCTACGCCAGTTGTGGATCTCAAACTCTGATCTGCTTTCGCTAAATCTTCTTTTAGATCAGATAGATTCAATTGCAATACGCTTTCTTGCCGATACCTGCAATTTGATGTGTGCTCAGCTTGTAAATCTTGAGGATTTCTAACTAACGCATTTGTTAATTTAACAAATTAAACTTACTGTTCTTTTCGAGTCACTTGATACTGATCCTTCAATTTAAGGAGCTCATAATATCGCTTGTTATGATCCTCTATTGACGCACGCTGCTGTTCTATCTCGCGTGTGTGGTCTCCTACCTTCTTCTCCAACGCAATCTGTTTTTCTGTATCACATTTCAAATCTTCGCTTATCTTCTTCTGATATTCTTCTTTGTCCTTTATCTGTTTCGTAAGCTGTTTAAGTTCATTTTGTATCCACTTGTCCCTCTCATCCTACGATAAATAAAGCCCTTAAAAATATCTTACTAAAACTTAACTAGAACAAAATGTAATTCACAACATCAATGATTTTTTATTGACCGTATCTGGCAATTAAATGTAATTCAACTTATTACAGCGATCACGATTTTCTTCTCCTTTACCTTAGTAGTGAATTGACTGCCACGATCTTGTTTAGCATACAATTCTTTACATTTCTGCTCTTTTAATTCCAATTCTTGCATACGCTCTTCCTCGACACGTTTTATTCCTTCGTACTGCGAGGAAAAAGGTTTCCTATACTAGTGTCTTAGTGTTAGATAAAATATATTAAATATCTGAATATTCTCTCACCTCTGGCTTGAGAGATTTTAGCTCGTCTTCTCGAAGAGCAATATTAGCTTCCAACTTTTCCAATTCTTGTTGGGCACGTTTCTTACTGTCGTTGTCACCTTTCACCTCCTCCAGCAAGTCGTTAATGGTAAAAGTCAACTTGTTCTTTTCTTTCAGTAATTGCTGCTGCTCTGCACTGCATTACAAACGTTTTTTCTTTGCCGTACTCCTCATTTTATACATACATATGTACATACACACACAATCTTTGACACGTTACCCAAGTATTTCTCTTTCTTCTTTGGCAATCTGCACTTCCTTCTTTGCCTCCTTCAGTCTCTTTGTAGCTGCACCTACTGTCTCTTGTACAGTTTTCAATTCTGCACCCAATCTCGCCTGCTCGGCTCCGCTATTCGTCCGCAATACCTCAAACTCTACCAATTTCCTTTTATTTTCTTTAAGTTCGCGCTCGTAGATCGTATATTCTAAACAACGACGTTGTTTATCCCAACGTTGATACTCTTTCAATTCCTCCTTCTCTTCCTCAAGTCTTTTCAAACGTTTTTCTACAATAGAATAATTATTTTCACTTGTACTTTATTTGTTCTACATATTTCGTTAATTGTAATCCTCACCCATCGTTAGTAGCGAATCATTGATCTTTTCTATCTTCCCTTCCGTTTCTTTCAAAATGGATTTTGACTCTTGTTTTTTATCATCGTATATCTTCGTACCTGCCACTTCCCGTAATAATTTTAATCTGTGTGAATCTGGTGCCGTTGCCATTTGGTTTATCTGCAAAACAATTACGTTGTACCAAAGATAAATATAGATAGGTCATTAACATACCTTTCCTTGCTTTACAATGTAGTATGGATTGGATCTAGAAAATCCTGCCAACTCCAATAAATTCATCACGTCGTTCCTTGTTGCAATCTGGTTGTTGAGAAAGTATTGGTCCTTCTCGCAGCTGATCATTCTCTTTAAAAAGACTTCATCTTTATCAATCTATGAATAAAGGAGATTTGTCTTTATTATTATTTATTAAAAAGTAACAAAATTATAGATACGAAATATAAAATTATAAATACATTTTTTACATAAAAAAAGAACTAGTGTGTAGTTATTTTTACCAGTAGTCTCCTATCGCAGTTATCAAATATGATTTCTACATGGGCGGATGTGACGCAAGGTCCTGGCCCTTCGTGTAGCAGCGCCTGCCTCTGCTCGCGTTTAAGATGCGAGAACTCATCAGGATTGCTCAGGACAAACTGAATAGCGCAGAAAAAGTTGCTCTTGCCGGATCCATTTCTACCAACTTTAATGAGAACATCCAATTGCAACGTATATTAATTACATGTAAAATCGTCAGCTTACCTACTACGTTGTGCCTTGGATCAAAAGGATCAACGACCGTCTGCTCGCGGTAAGACTTGAATCCTTGGATAATCACCTGTTTCAACACAAACCCACAATGAATACATAAGTAGATGTGCAGCGCATGACCAATCGTCCGACCTTAACTTTAATTTTGGTTTAATTCATGTTTGTCTCTTTCTGCAGTGAAGCCTAATCTACAATGTGCTTTCTGCATCTAGAAACATTCTATTTTATGTAAACAAATCGAAACGCTTAACAAACTTGTCGACAATTTGCGATTGTACAATGTATAATGCACAATTTATCAACTTGCCCAAATTTTGCAAACGTATTTATTGGCTAGGAAATAGAATGTTTCTAGACGCAAAGGACACGTTGTAGATCAGCCTTCACAGTTGGAAAGAGACAAAGAACAAATTAAGCAAGAATGTTAATCTAAAAGGTAAAAAAATTACCCGACGTTGGAACAATCGACCCTAAGACCCGGTTTCACCAACGTTGTTTAACTTTAAGCTTAGCTTAATTCGTCGTCCCTTTTAACTTTAGAAAGAGACAAACGTGAATTAAACTAAGATTAAAGATAAAAGTGACGTTTGATGAAACCAGGACTAAGGCTGTGGTCCACTTGATGCTACAAATACTTCAAAGCACTCTTCTTCTCTTTCTTTATTAAAAGGAAGAAAGAGCAGAAGGCCTTGAAACATTTGCAGCATCAAGTGTATCGCAGCCTGAACTGATCTCGTCAATTTCCATCGTAGGAATTGCAGTGGCAATACAATAATTTCAACGGAATTCCGAGGAGATGCAGACGGTAATTCTGTATGAAATCTCGACGGTAATCCGAAATTCAAGAAACAAATTGCAGACGAAAAAGGTGCGGAAAAAGTGCAGTGATTTCGCGTCAAGGGTGACGCAATTCCGAATATAAAAAATTCTATGCTTAGGCCCGGTCTACAATGAGTTGTTAGTCGTTAGTCAGAAGTCGGAACTATATGTCGGTCCTTTTTCTTCCACCCAGAAAGGAAAAGGATCAACATATAGTTGCGACTTCTGACTAACGACTAACGACTCATTGTAGACCGGGCCTTAGACGTCTTGTAGTGCGATTCTGTAACTCGTTATGTCGTCGTTATGGGCTTTGCGCAGCTTTTCTACGGTATATTAGATCTGCGCAAAGCCCGTAACGACGACATAACGAGTTACAGAATCGCACTACTGTGCGGGATGCAGACCAGCGTAAAACGCAACGAGTGACGAACCGTGATCCATTGAGCGCACAGCTTTGCCGCAAAAGTGCGTCGAATTTCGCGCTGGTCTGCAAGTCTCCCATTTTTAGTCGCAACCACGCAACGCAACACGATTACCGATTTTGTTTACCTGCTTGATAAACATGATGCGACGAGAAGTCAGACACAAAGTGCGCGTTCGTTTACGCAGCGACTGCCGCGGCTAGCGTCATCCTGTCTTCGTTGCACATCAGATATCAAACGAAGATAGGGCGACGCGTCTGCGGCAATCACTGCGTAAACGAATGCACGCAAATAGGTACCATTAGTAATGGCGTTGCACGAAGCCGCAGCCGAACATGCGAGACTCGCTGACGCCAGCGCAACGAAAACATCTGACTATCGGCATTAAAGGCCAGTTTCACAAACTGCGGTTAAGTATTAATCAGGGTTCAGTCGACTCCCTATCTTTTTCCATCTTATTATTTAAGAAGAGACAGGATCAATTAACTTTCGGCTAATTGATCCTCTGTCTCTTCAGTTAACTGTTAACCGATGTTTGTGAAACTGGTCCAATGGCCCGGTTTCATCAAACGTTGCTTAACTTTAATCTCGATTTAATTCACATTTGTCTCTTTCTAAAGTAACAACAGTTGGAAAGAGACAAAGAACGAATTAAGCTTAAAGTTAAACGACGATGATGAAATCGGGCTTAAAGGGCTGTGCTATGAACGTTAATAATACCATTACGTGCTTCGTGCAACTTTTCTAAGATATTTTGTATCAGCGTAAAGCACGAAATGACATTAATATTAACAAAAAAGCCACTTAGAATCAAAGTAAATCCACAGTA